CAGCAGAACCATATGATGTCACATAAGAAAGATATTGACTCTTAAATATTTAAAAACTTTATCCATCAAACCAATTTCATTACATTAGTTTTATTTCATGCACAATTTATGGATAAAATGTTGGGGTTTTTTTTATTTTTTTTTACAGTTTTGTCAGTGTAGAATCAGAAAACTTTAATTCAGATTTAATCTCTAAATGTTTTACTCACAGCTGAAACTTAGTTATTCTATATTTAACAAAACTCTGCAAACATAATTATTGACCTCAGTCTTTTAAAGCTCCCGAGATGAAAGCTGAGTCATGTCTTCAAAAAGACAGCCACCGTCTGCTAGCAAACGCTGACTCAGCATTTTCTCATCCTCTGCGGCTTTTTCTGTCTACAATAATCTGTTGTGGCCATTTATGCTAAGTTTTTGTCATTTCTACCAATTTAGTTCTCTTCTTTTAGTTGGTAGAATAAATCTAATAATAAATTTGTAATTTATTTTTTATGTTTGGAATTTTTTAGATGACTCTGTGAAATGTTAGACCTTACAGCGGGTGCTGGTGGATTGGTTGGTAAATGTCCGGTTTTTGACCAATTTGTTAGAGCTTCAAATATTAAATTCACAATATTTTTTCATTTCGACTAAGTTGCGAGACATTTTTAGTAATGATTTTGCTTTTCCAATAAATAAATCAAGTGGGAAGTGTCTACAAAGCCAAAAACCACCTGTTACCACGGCATTTGTTGGAAATGTTGATATTTTTTTAAACAGAAGGCCGCAACATTTTCCATCTTACAGTAAGATGCTATTAAACTGAATGCCAACAGAAGGAAGGAGTTGCTGCTTTCATTTATCTGCTGTTTTTAAAGTGAAACTATGTTCCGTGGTGCTAAAGTTGGTCAATAAGGACTTCCTGTGCTGTGCTTGGTTTAATGCATGTTGCTGTATTTTTGGTTTTTTCTTTAATCAGGTCTGCTGCAGAGGGTTTTTCTATCATTGGGGTGAGAAGTGAACACATCATGATCTGATGGAGTTCCTGTTTTCTTTGCATTTTTATTCTTTGTAACAAGAAACTGACAGCTGTAAACTCTAAGAGCTGCATGTCTTTTTATATTTTTTTAATCAGTTTATTGTCATGGTTTTGTAAATGAAATCTTTTAAAGATGGATGACCGGTACACATGTGACTTTGTCTCTTTAGAGGTTGTAAGGTTTGTCTCTCTGGTTGTTTAAACTGAGTTTAATAAATCTGTTTAACAGAAGCATCGATCAACACTTTGAGTTTTGGCTCCATCTTTGTACTAGCTCTTTATTTGAAGACGACATGGCGTTCCATCTGTTTCGCATCCTAACAACGATTTTACCAAAAATAAAAAAGGGCTAATTTATTTTGTAAAAAGGATTCATTAAAATATTCAAAACTGTTTTGAATCAAATATATTTTCCCATCAAATGATGAGTGGAGGTGCGAAACAAATATATTTTAAAATCAAACAGTGGAATAAAACAGGGAGGGAAAAGTTCATCTCGTACATTAAATGTAAAAAAGGTTAAATGCTGCTAAATGAAACAATCAGATGACCTAAAATCTACATTTTAATTTACTTTCTTTTTTTAAGAAAGTTCCTGCAGGGGACCAATCTCTTTCCTTCTGTAAGAAACGGGCTTGACGTGATCTTTTTGGCCCATGAGCCACCGTGGCAGCTGGTTTCCAAGGTTACCAGCCACTAAGCATTTTCACTAGCCTCATTTGTGTTTGCCGACTATTTTGAGTATGATTAACGCTGATTATGCCAAGATAAATTTGACTTTAATTAGATGTTCAACCTTTCTAAATGCAATGATCTGTTTTACACCCCCATATCAAGACTACATAAAACCTTTAACACTATGGGTCATTATCAAGAGCGGTTTCTTATTCTATAATAAAAGTAATAGAATCAAGTAGAAGATTAATAGAGCATAAAAAATAAAAACAACTTTTCATTATCAGTGGGCAATTTATTGTAAAGCTCTGCTGCATATAGTAATATACAAATTCTATTCAGTTTATTTCTATAGCGCCAATAACAACATGTCATCTCAGGTCACTTCCCAGATCACCAGATCATCCAGTCAGATTGATTCAAAGTTTTC